AGACTTTCTAGCTGAGGATGGGGGCACCGGTGGAGGAAGCACCTATGTCCCCAAACCAGTCAGCTGGGCTGATGAAACAGACTATCTGGAAGGAGATGTGTCAACAACCTGGCACAGTAATGATGACGATGTGTACAGGGCACCTCCAATTGACCGATCCATCCTTCCCACTGCTCCACGGGCTGCTCGGGAACCCAATATCGACCGGAGCCGTCTTCCCAAATCGCCACCCTACACTGCTTTCCTAGGGAACCTGCCCTATGATGTGACAGAAGACTCCATTAAGGAATTCTTTAGAGGACTAAATATCAGCGCTGTACGCTTACCATGTGAACCCAGCAATCCAGACAGGTTGAAAGGCTTTGGCTATGCGGAGTTTGAGGACCTGGATTCTCTGCTCAGTGCTCTGAGTCTCAATGAAGAGTCTCTAGGTAACAGGAGAATTCGAGTGGACGTTGCTGATCAAGCACAGGATAAAGACCGGGATGATCGTTCTTTTGGTCGAGATAGAAATCGGGATTCTGACAAAACAGACACAGACTGGAGGGCCCGTCCCGCCACCGACAGCTTTGATGACTACCCGCCTAGAAGAGGTGACGATAGCTTTGGAGACAAGTATCGAGATCGTTACGATTCAGACCGGTACCGGGACGGGTACCGGGATGGGTACTGGGACGGCCCACGCCGAGATATGGACCGCTATGGGGGCCGGGATCGATATGATGACCGAGGCAGCAGAGACTATGACCGAGGCTATGACTCCAGGATAGGCAGTGGCAGGAGAGCATTTGTAGTGGGTACCGTAGGGATGATGACTACAGAGGAGGTGGGGACCGCTATGAAGACCGGTATGACAGAAGGGACGATCGATCATGGAGCTCCAGGGATGACTACTCTCGGGACTACTATAGGCGTGATGACAGAGGTCCCCCTCAAAGACCCAAACTGAATCTAAAGCCTCGGAGTACTCCTAAGGAAGATGATTCCTCTGCTAGCACCTCCCAGTCCAGTCGAACGGCTTCCATCTTTGGAGGGGCGAAACCTGTGGACACGGCTGCCAGAGAGCGGGAAGTTGAGGAACGGCTACAGAAGGAGCAGGAGAAGTTGCAGCAGCAGCTGGATGAGCTGAAACTAGACCGCCGGCCACGGGAGAGACACCCAAGTTGGCGAAGTGAAGAAACTCAGGAAAGAGAACGGTCGAGGACAGGAAGTGAGTCATCACAGACTGGAGCCTCAGCCGCATCTGGCAGAAATACACGCAGGAGAGAGAGTGAGAAGTCTCTAGAAAATGAAACCCTCAATAAAGAAGAAGACTGTCACTCTCCAACCTCCAAACCTCCTAAACCTGATCAGCCTGTGAAGGTAATGCCAGCCCCTCCACCAAAGGAGAATGCGTGGGTGAAGCGGAGCTCTAACCCTCCTGCTCGATCTCAGAGCTCAGACACAGAGCAGCAGTCCCCTACAAGTGGAGGGAAGGTGGCCCCCACTCAGCCCTCTGAGGACGGACCATCAAGGAAAGATGAAAATAAAGTAGATGGGATGAGTGTCCCAAAAGGCCAAACTGGGACCTCCAGTTGTGGTCCTGGAGAAGGAGGGAGCAAAGACCCCTGGAAGGAGTTGGACAGGAAAGATGGCAAAAAAGATCAAGACTCGAGATCTGCACCTGAGCCAAAGAAATCCGAGGAGAATCCAGCCTCTAAGTTCAGTTCTGCAAGCAAGTATGCTGCTCTCTCCGTGGATGGTGAAGATGAGAATGAGGGAGACGACCACACTGAGTAGACCTCCACGTGCTGTGCTTTCTTCTAGTCTCCACCCCGGAACATTCAAGAGCAAATCAAACCTCTATCCAGACAAGAAAAAATAAAACTCACCATCTCCTGAAGACCTTTCTTAACTTTTTTTTTAATGAAATGAAATTGTTTTGCATGCTGCTGCAGCCTTTTAAAGTATTGAAGTAACTGGAGAATCACCATTGTAGCCAGAGATGTGGCTACCGCTTTTGAATGGGGAAGTTGTGATCTGTTCTGATGATACCAAGCAGCCACCTGTGTGACTAGTGCCTAGGGCTCCATTCAGCAGAAATGTAGTGACAGTGAGGCAGTAGAGACAGGTACAAGGAAGAGTGAGATGTCTGCCTTGTCATTCTTATCCTGTGGTGGTACCCATGAATTCCCGAACATCATCTAAATAAATTTCCCATCCATGGAAAGGTAGATTTAGTCTCTCAAGTTCTTTTAGTCTCCAGGAGGCTGCCACTCCCTCTACTTTAATTCTGACTTAACTGGGGCCAACCTAGGGGGAATTGTTTTTTGTTTTTTACCCCCCAAGGGGGTAATTGGGAGTGAGTCTACAGACCACTAACAAGTAGTACCGCTTGGGGACCAAAATGAATGGGAAACTCAATCGTGGTTTGAAAAGCTTTGAGGGAGTGATCAGTTATTTTATACCAGGTAGTAAGGGAAATGGCATGACCTCCGATAAACACATGAATAGAAGGATCGTTTCCCAGATGAGGAAGCACGTAGCAGGTGTGGGAAATTCGTCTTCTAAAATCTGTCCTTTCTAAAGGTTCGAATCTA